ATGCTAATGCGTGATTACGGCAGCCACGGTCGTAATACGCGAACTTTTTGTGCGGCTCACGTGTGACCCGGGGGCGCTTAAAACATCCCTTAAATTACCCCCATTAGCAAGGGTTGAACGCCGGGTAAACGAGGATTTCACTGGCGCTGTTACGCGAGATTTATAATTCCGTGGGAAATATTCCTTTCGGACATTAAATTACGTCGTTATACCGGGGGCTCTCACTCCTCGCGCCCGACTAGTCGATCCAAGTATAAACTTAAGCCGATTTAGCAACGTATTGTACCGCTATCGCGCGTTTTCGCGAACGTATTAAATGCCAAGTATAACGAGCCGACGCGACGCGACGGGAGCAAGTTATCGCGGCGCAATGAAAACGACGATTCTCGAGTGGGCGACGATATGGAAACTCCTTCACTTGAGTAGTTACAGACACACACGTGAGAGAAACACACTCTCTTTTTTCGGTAATCGTCTGGAAAAATACAACAGCGGTCTTCTACGTGAAAGTTGAAATCGATATCTACTCTGGAGAGGTAATTTTCGAAGAAGAGAAATGATACGCACAATAAATGTACATGTGTTTTACGTATATCAGAGATATATATCTTTTATATATTATATACAATTCAGAAGAAATTGCTAAAGATTTCTTATTATCTTATTATAATAAATATTTTCATATATCCAGCAAGATAAAAAAAACTTGTAATTATAGTCGTTCTGTTCGTATTTAATTTTTTTTGATATCTTTATCTTTAATGTGTATGTGTGAATAGAGATCATATAAATTCTAAATTACGAAAAGTAAAACAGTAAATATTTAAAATTAACATAACTTTATGCAGAGTTTTTATAAAAATGTATCAATTATAAGTGTATACACACAATACATGTACATATGTATAATATTTATAGTCAATTATTTTGACGCGACAAGTGTACCACCAAATATTTATGATGAATTTTCTTCTACGAGACAACATCTTGTGCGTGACGGCACACGCGATCTGAATCTTATCTCTCTCTAATTTCTCGAAAACGATCGTCCACCGTCGGCAGCTGAGAGACGCTCTCGCGGGCGATTTACGGAATTTAAACAGCCCTCCGAGAAAAGGCGGCTTGCCGTTGCGTGGCAGGTCGGATTAGCAGGTTGGCCCCCGCGTCGAAATAATTCCCCTTCTCCTCTGTTGTCCTCCGGCACCAGTTCTCGGTCGTCCCCACCTCCATCAGCCTCCGGGGTAGGTAGGTTACGTCCTTCCTGCGGGATAAAACAAAACAGCCAGCAGAGTATATTAATGCTCGGCTTAATGCAGCCCGCCTAATTAATGGACCGACTCTCCGGACGCCCGCTCGCTCGTTCTAAAAGTAAGAGATAACGCCGCTGCAGAAGCATTATTAAAGACAAAAGCGCGACCGCCGCCGCGCGCTCGTATCCTGGACAAGTGGAAATTTCAGTAAGCGCTTCCTGACGTAAGAGATTTTCTCCTCATCCTTCCCCTCCCCTTAAGGTTGAGGAAGAGGCAAAACCAGAAGGAGATAATAACGGTGCGCCTATTGAAGTTAATTAGACTCACTTAAAGTAAATAGGATTAACAAGATCGAAACGAGAAGTCATTTATGTTGTCAGCATTTATGTTGTGTCCAAAAAATTTTTTAAAGTTCGAATTGAATATCATTAACAAGTATGTTAATGTTGAGAATAAGAGGAACAAAAATATAGCACTGAAATTATAAATCACAGAAACAACATATTTCTACATTAAGTTATCGAACAAAACAGATGCACTTCTTTCCATTTCTTAAAGAGTTCTGGGGGAAGGAAGGGTGGCTCGTTGGGGGAGTGTCATGGATGCTGTGGGGGCGGAGCCTTGAGAGAGTTGCATCGAGACTGCTCCTCTGCGTCGATAAGCAGAGATCGCCCCCACTCTACCACCTTGATTTTCTAGGTATATTTGTTAGTTCGTGATTAGAGAAAGAAAGAGAGAGAGAGAAAGAAAGAGAGAGAGAGAGAGAAAAAGCGATATTAAAATTTTTTTGTGATCTAGTAAATCACCATCATTAAGTGAACCAGATCGTCACAAAATAAATCGCTCAGAAATATCAATTTAATTCGAATGGCCAGAACTGTGGTTTTTGAATTACGCCCTTATTCCAGCCATTCTCTCGATTGTCGAGGGGACAATCGTCCCCTTCCCCCGTCCGTAATATCATCTCCACGATAATGATCAATGAGAGCGAAGCTACAACGGCTTGGTCAAGGAGAGTACTACACCGCCTCGTAGACAGGTTAGCGGTTCTCGAACGTGTAGCGGCTAATCGAATTATCGATGCTTTGAGGATCAGCGTCCGTGGATGATTCGATCACGTAGCTGATGAACAGTTCCGGCGCGGCGCGGCGCGGCGATCAGCGATGCGAGCTACTTTCGAAGGGAACCTCTCGTTATGGACCCTCCTCGCTAACGTTTGAGCGAGCCACGTTTCCGCTGCGCTCCGCTGCCCGCGCACAACGACAATATAACTTTGAGTAATTAGTTGCAAAAATTGCCGGCGATACTCGACAAGCAGATCATTGACATCGCGCGTATTTCAAGATACTTCATGCGAGAGCAATTTTTTTTCGTTTCGTCGCGTTTTGCACGCAAATGTGAACAGCAAGCGATCGGAAAAGATACAGTTAAATCACGGTTACATCACGTTGCTTGTGAAGTCAGGCTTAGAACAATTATTATTTTACATACGTTGGGGTCGATTTGACCGATGATGTGAGGACGGATGTTCTTTCCGACCGCGCGGGGAAACCACACCCACCACACTGATGAAAATCACATTTAAAGTGGGAAAATTGAGCTGCACAACCTGGGGCAGTGGTTGAAGATTTTCCAGAGGTCGTCGGCGGAATCCAGGTCGGCTTCCGCAGGAATTTCTGTGGTGAAATTCCGGCGCGCGTAACTCCAAATATTTCTGTTATCGTAGTTCGTAGGGAAGGGATTTCGAGTTTCAAAGGAAACTCTCTCGCCACTTTCGTACGCTGTGAACAGTGACGTCTCGCTTGCGAGTTGGACTCGCAACATCGGCAAGCAAACGACATACCGCGTCGATATGGAAATTCTATCCTTATCTTCGAAACGTGTAAACATACGTAGAATGACGATGACGTCTATAGGAACTCGCTCGCGTGTGTGTCAGCAAATGGAAACCGCCGTATAAAATGAGAACTCTAATTCTAATTACACCGACGAGGTCTGTGAAAGAGCAGCGTAAATTTAACATCGTGCCAATCGATAGCGCGTAGCGATTATTATGTGGCAAAGTTTATATGCGGGCAGATTTAATAGTTTGCATAATTTACCCCGCTAGTTAGTTATTCCATTAATCATTATCCCGGGTAGGTGTGTGCACGCCCGCGAATAACAATCGTATTATTATTTATAACGTATTCAATTTATCGGTAACCCGCGGGCGGAGGTAAAGCGTGTAATCGATTCAACTCGATTAATTAACTCGCCCCCGCGTATACGATTGTAATCGAGGTGCCTAGACGCGGAGGCCTCTCGTTACCGTGGACGACAACCTTCCGCCGTTGCGCATGGCTTCCTGTCGCGTTTTTGTCGCGCAAAAAATGCGCACGCATACGCACTCACGCGCTCACGCACTCACGCGCTCACGCACGCACGCACGCACACGTACGTACACGGTGTCTGTCATCGCTATTCGTCGCACAAAGGCGTTTAATTAGAAGCGCATCGGGAAACGGGACATCATCCGGCATCTGGTTTTTTGCCTCGGCAATTTTCGCGTTCCGCCAAGGCGATACGGATTTTTCATCCCCGTCGCCCGTTAATAATTAACGGATCAAAGGCATCGTATTAATATTTGCCCCGAAGTCCCCGACCGCACAGAAGATATTAACCCGCGTAATATTGTGTCCATGCTAAGGGGAGAGGAGAGAGGACATATTGAAACCGCACAAACTTCGCTCATAGCATTCGTGGGTATGAGCTTGTAAATATACCGGGTGGCTGAGATCGAACACGGTGTGGTGCGGCCCGGTGGACATCGCCTGGGGAAAAAGTGAAAACCGTCAACATGCGCGATATTACACTTTAAGATCAATCAGTTGCCGTCAATCTGTCTAATATGCGCGCGTTCTTAGTTATAAAGAAAACGCACACCCCTCATGTAAAACTTATTCTTTCTCATCAAATATTGGAATCGTTTTGAATTTAGATTCCGAAAATTCACACATACGTACGTTTTTATTCATTTTCAGTAAAAGATTTGTGTTAATTTTCTTTTTTGTATGCAAACATTGTGATGAATTTTTAATATAGATTTCTTAAAAGAGTATCTTTTCTCAACGGATTATCTCATGTTTATCCAAAATAGAGACAACGGTCGAGAATATCCGAAGCGGCTGTTTCGGAGCCGGTGGTGCTTAAACGCACAATAAGTGAAAAGAGAAAGAGAGAGAGAGAGAGAGAGAGGGGGGATGTGGGAAGGTCAAACTAATTCGATTCTAAACTCTGACCACATCGCGAGAAAGAGACCAGGGACGCTTCTATGCGGGAGGGATCTGCGGAGGATGAGAAAAGCTACACACATCCCCGAACCCGAACAGGGTGGACACAGATGGCACTAACCGCGCCGTTAAATTCTCAAGCCGTAACTCTAATTACTCATAGACAAGCCGACATTCTAGTGCCAGATGCCGGTGAAACTTGTTAAAAGCACGCGAATGCGATTACTCATTCAATTCTGGCCAGAGCCGAAAGTCGATTCGCAAAGATTTTCCGATTGTTTAAACTTTTTCAATCAAAAACGATAAAATAACATAAATATTAATAAATTACACACTATAAGTGGCGCGATACAATGTAATAAACATATATGTAAAAGTTAACGTAAAATTTACGTAAATTGCGATGAATATTCAGTCGTTCATTTTTTTTTGCACAGTCAATGATTAAGCCAACATTTCTGTATGATGTTAATTGCAGGCGGTAAAATGACTATGGATGGGAGCAAGAGCGAGCCGGGCAAGAACGGAGCTACTCAACAAGAATGCGCGGGTTGTGGAAAGGCGATTACGGAGAGGTGAGTGCTCAGTTTTGTTGCGTGACACAATGTTTCGTTGTATTTTATACTGGCGCTTTGAAAAAAACGCTGACCGTAAGGACCGTAAGGTTTACTTAACGTTCTGTTCTTCCCTTCGGACTATCGCAAACACGAACTGGGTTAAATGCATTTTCTCTCGTTAACGAAAGTTAAATCGAGGAGTCGCGTTATTGGGTTTAATGATCACACAATTGGAATATACACGCGCAACACACGTAAGAGAGACCGGAGCATAAAGTGACATCCAAAATACTATTAAAAAACAAAAAAGCAAACTGTACGCAATATTATGCAATATTCAATGTATAATACCTACAATATATAATAGTCACATCCTTTAGCTTAAAAAAAAAAAAACATTATTCTTATATATCTTTATACAAAAAACAATTATTTAATGTTAAACACAATTGCGTAAGTTTGTCAACTCACTCCATATCCAGAGTTAATTTTCTCGTGCTTCTTAGTTGTTTGTCACACGTTTTTTCATGCAGAAAAATAATAAGATACAAAATTGAGGCATCTGTATTGAATTGACAAGCTATCTTATAAGTCAAAATTCTGATTTCCTCGAGTGTAAGACCAAAGTAAATATACTTGAAGCATGTAAAATATATCTACCTAATTTTTCTTCCTGTAAATTATTCAAAATCTTTTTTAGCATAACCCACACTCGTAGAATTTGTATTTTCACATATGTATTTTTTTTTCATTTTCTTACAATATCGTCGAGCTAACGTACAAGCGTTTGAGTCAACGTATCCTAAACGTTCATTTTAAATAAAATATATTATATTTATAAGAAAACTGCGATGCAATGAAAATTAAATAAATATAGAAAAACTTATTTAAAACTATCACATTTTCTATACCTAAGATAAAATTGCAATTAGAAAAATTTTAAAATCAGTGAAATAACTAAGAACTTGAGATAAAGAAAACTCTACTCGCCATGTTCAGTTTTACAAAAGTGCTAGTAAATATCATATATAACGTTTTTAAGAAAAGCTATTTTGTACACGTTACTAACACAATAGTAGCAACTTACATTATAAAGAAAAGAATATCTTTCACACAATTTAGTAAGCAAGATAATAGCAGTGTGACAACTAGCCCCGGTCTCTCCTATATATTGCAAAAAACGCAAAGTTTTTTTTCTATAACGTACAAAAAGCCAAATTAGAAACGTATTCTAAATTCAATTAGTTTTACCTGAATTCAAGCACTGTGTAAACTTTGTTTAATCAGATATCTGCTGAAAGCGCTGGACATGTACTGGCACGAGGACTGTTTGAAGTGCGGATGCTGCGATTGCAGACTTGGCGAAGTCGGTTCGACGCTCTACACCAAAGCTAATCTTATTCTTTGCAAGAGAGACTATCTGCGGTACGTACAAGACAAATAAAGCTCTATCATAAGTCGTTCGATATGTTTCTTGAGAAATTTTTTGGAGCAAGATCTGTGCGAGTTGACAAGCGTTCGCGAGCGTTGTCTCGCGTCGAGAGTCAATAAACGCGAATAGATTGATAGGAGATGAAAGACGCGATCAGGGAGGAGCGAAAGGAAATCGAGGAAAGCGACGGCAACAAATCGAATTTTACAGATGAGTTTCCCTTATTGAATACACCCACGTCCCATATAAACAAGCGAGAGCAAATAAACCGTGTTGAGATTACAAAGTCCCCAGGGAATGCGCGCAGGTGGCGCGTCCGCGCGAGAAACACGCACCATCGAAACATTGTGGCTTTTATTAATGGCTCAATATTTGAAGACGATATAGTCCGTGGTGCTCGTAAGCTTATTGGTTTCCGCGAGGCGAAAGTTTTCCGCTTACTCTCGTCATCGAGACAAACATCAAGGATTTTTCTTGCGTTATGATTCTGCCGAAGCTTTCACAATATTTTGTGACAAATAAAATTTAATAACGCGTGTCGTCAAATCGACATTGTCAATATCGCATTAAACGATTTAATAGATTATGACATGTGACCATCTTCTTTTTTTGTAATTTAACAGACTTTTTGGAAACACCGGCCACTGCGCGGCATGCAGCAAAGTCATTCCAGCATTCGAGATGGTGATGCGCGCGAGAACTAACGTTTATCATTTGGAATGCTTTGCTTGTCAGCAATGCAATCATAGGTAAGTGCTGAAAGTTCTTTTACCATTTGTTGATTTGTTTGCTCCGTGAAAAACAGATTTTTTTATAGAAATTCAAATTTAATTTTAAATTTAATACTAAATCATTAATTATTCTCGATAATTGGCAAAGTTTAAGAGAGAGATTGATTTAAGACAGAGAGAAACGTCGAAATGACGAAAGCTCCGATTCACATCGCGCCAAGTGGTTTCGCTTCCGCGAGGCTCTTTTTGAGAGAAACTGCGCGCTATTATTTTATTAACAATAATGAAAGCCGGTAATTAAACATTCACACCCGGCGGCGCAGACGTCGGCGGCGAAGTCGCTTTCTCGAGTATTCCTCGTGGCAGCTCATCCGTATAACAATTTAATTCGAGCCACCCCAGCCGAGCGCGCGCGCTCGGGGGTTTGCCTAACTTCTGCAGCACTTCGCAACACTTCGCTTACTTATTCACAACAACCGAGTTAAGCCGAGGCTCGTTCGAAAGCCGGGACTCGAGCCGAAACGCCTCGGCGGATCTGCCGAATGGAGATAATCGGTACGCAAAGCTCGAGAGCCCGCAAGTCACGCCTTTGCAGTATCGTGAGGAAAAGTGAGAGAAAGAGAGAGAAAATTCTCCTATTTCTCCGTTCATACGAGACATCAAGCGAATGTAATATAAACGGTTGCAAATATTACAATTGTTCGTATAAATAAGACTTTTATTTATTTTAGAACGAAAAAAAATAATAATGTTATAGTTCCGAGATGAAAGATAAATACACGAACATTTATTATATCTACGTGCAAATATTTGTTCCCAGCGAAATCAGGCGTCGCTTCGTTACCGATTCCGCGCTACAGTTGGTGTAAACGATGGTTAAGCTCCCCCAGCTCGAAACTTCGAAGAGAAGGATCGATGTCGCACAACGAGAAGAATCCGCTCGACATTTCCTCTCTTGACGGGCATAATTGACACAAGAGCTTCCGACGAGAGAAAGAGAGAGAGAGAGAGAAAGAGAGAGAGAGAGAGAGAGAGAGAGAGAGAGAGAGAGAGAGAGAGAGAGAGAGAGGAAAGTCAGAGTTGCGAACTATGCGAAGCGACGCGACGTGTGGGTGCCTCGAGGTGCACGTCAGATGCAAATCATGCCGACTAATTTCTCGGAAAACTCGCGGATTCGGAGGGAGAGAAGAGCAGAGCGAATATATCCGCGGCGAGATACGGCCGAGTATAATAGCGTAGCGATAAAGCCGAATGGCCGAATTAATTATACCCTCGTGTCTTTGGTTGTCCAAAACAACAGTTCAACCATTCGGTGTTAACATCCCTTTGGCCCGGCTAGTTACCAAAAGCGTCTGTTTTGTATGTGTGTTGATTAACCTTTTGATAGTCGAGATTAATCTTTTTTTTTCGAAAAATTAATATTTTATTCAATATTTTGTGTTTTTATTTAAAAATTAAATTCATATACATACAAAAGGGTAGGCTTCACACAAATTTATAAAACACACGCGGTCTCGAATTTTAATCACTTCCTTTGAAAGGGCTATGAACAACGCAATTATTTATTTAATTTAATGATGGCAATTTGGCTTTCAACAGCGATTAAAATGATTAAATGGTATGTTTAAAAGGATTAATTGCGTTCTCTCTTTTATTAGCACATCGTAGGTTTCCATTAATTTTGTTATATACCGTGACACGTAGTGTGATATTTAGAAAACATTCATTTCATAAGTTATAGTGTTTTACCTATAAATTATCAATTAAATTACGTCACATTGGAATAAAACAATATATAGGAAGCAATGTGGAATCGATCCTTTATACATATCACTTGACGGGGAGGGTCGATGGCATTTCGACGTATTTAATGTCACTCCTCGGCATTTGCCCGACCTTTCTTGCACCCTCTCCTCAGTTTGAGTTGACTCGGCCGAAACACCGTGTCGAAGCCGTGCGTTCACTCTGGTGTTATGTGCCTACATTTATGTTTGTTTTTAATAGCATACTTTTTTTTGTTACAGCGTAAGATATAGGACGAAATAATATTATACAAGACTAGTTTACTACCTCCATCTCTTTCTTTCAATAAAAAAAAAGTATTTTCTGAAAAATATTTGCTACGATTTTTTAATCTTTAAAATATCTAGATATTATATTATTTTGCACATCCAGCGTAGACTCTCATTGACGGATTAACTTTCGCGTTGTTAGTATTAGATTATTTCTTTTAATTAGATAAAATAAAATATTAACTATATGTTCCGTGCTCGTTGTATGTTTAAATAAAAAGATAGGGAAGAGGCAATAACGAGTTACACCTGATGTTTGAGTAAAATTTTTCTTTATTCCGAGGAATCAGTAAAAATTACAATGAATGCATGATGTATGTTTGTAGTATATATCTTTTCTGTATTCATATTCTTCATTATCGTCGCGAATAGATCATGCATTCATTGTAATTTTTTCATGTAGAGACACTGAAGAAGATCCCATAGTGGATCGATACGTTTGTATCTTTACTAATTCCTCGAAATAAAGAAGAAATTTATCCGAACATCAAGTATAGCTCGTTATTGCCTCTTCATTATCTTTTTATTTAAAATATTAACATTAGAAAAACACATTATTTCGCGCTGTGTTGCCTCAAATTAAAGCGAAACGGATGTCTTTACAGAGCGTGAAAACAATATCGCTTCTTGGTGTCGTCGGAATATGCAGTAAAAAGTTTAAGAGCTCTCGCGAAGAAGTCCTCGTCGGCGCGTGACTGCCGAGCAAAGTCGATTACGGCCTAAAGATACGTCGGCGAAAGTATACTTTCTTTCGCGGTCGATGGTAACGCGCAACCCTTAAGGCGAACCATTGGTTAGGGGTCGAAGCGGTTGACCGTACGCAAAGGCGGAAACGGATGTGGCCGTTGGGTCACGCGAGTTCCACGAGCCGAGCATAAAACACCTGAGTTGTTTAATCATACGCTCCCGTGCTAGAAAGCATCGTGGCTCATGAACTCGTAAGAGTGAGACCTCCCGTCTTCTTTTCTCTTTTTTTCCCCTTCGTCAGTTTCTCGAGTTTGTGTTCCGCGATACGAAAATGCGGATTACTCATTGACGAGCGATGGGGAAACGTGCGGGAGAACGTGTGCTATGTGAATCGAGGTCTTACAAATGAACGAATTTTTCATGATTGTCGTGAGCTCAAATATGGAAATTCAGTCCTTGAAAGATTAAACTATATAGTGTGTACATATACATATATATATATATATATATATATATACTGTGTTGCCTTATCTGATCTTTCTATCGATAAACTCTATAATTATGTGAAAATTTTATTTATATGTTAATTTTCTTGATACTGCTATCTTACGACATACTATGTTTTAACGTGTTGCTAAATAAAGCATTATTTAAAATTGTTACGCGTAATGTGAAGCCGATGTTTTCAGAGGTAAAGAAATTTAATCATTCAAGACCAGATCTCTCAGACCCATTTAAAAATTGCGCATTAGCGTTTCTAGAAAAAATCAATTTTTTTTAACGCTTATATCTTCGAAATTACTAGAGATTTTTTCAATTTGGTTTTTTATTGACGCAGAATCGTTTAACCTTTCGATTAAAAACAAAATCAAAATTGAAAAAAATATTGATTGTTTGCGGAGATATTCGATCTGACAGTCGCGTGAGTCTCACAGACCCGATCTGGTCACGAAGAGTTAACCCTTCAGTGCCAAACATAAAAAATGACTTACGAGTTGTCCAGACATCCCACTGGGTCTGTGAGATCTACGCGACTTTAAGTTCGAATATCTGTGTAAAAAATCAATATTTTTTCAATTTTGTTTTTATTTTTTATTAAAAAGTCGAACGATTCTGCGTCGATCAAAAGAAACTGATTGAAAAAATCTTCGGTAGTTTTGAAGATATAAGCGTTTAAAGAAAAACCTGACAATTTTTTCTCGAAAAAAGACTTTTTGTTTAAAAGTTCATAACTTTTTGTGTAATTAAGATTTTTACAAACTTCCAACGCAATTTTTTATGAATTCGTTCGTACTTTTAGGGGACAAAAGTGTCTTCTAAAACTTGCAAAATTAAAAACATTTTCACAATGGGTTTTTTTAAATGTTATTTGAAGAATGCATTTTTCTCTAGCGCCCAACTTTGACGTGCAATATTTGAGCAATAAATCAATATTTAGACATATTCTTTTTTTAAATAAAAAATTTAAACGATTCTGCGTCGATCAAAAAAACAAATTGAAAAAATCTCTAGTAGTTTCAAAGAAACGTTTGAAACTTTTCTGCGCTCCATGACCTAATAAATTGCTATAAATGTACATATATTTTAATAAAATTATGAAAAAAACCAACCATTTTTTAATATATTAAAAGTGCTCAAACTGAAAAAAAAACTTACTTACTTTTCAAAATGCCAACGTCTTGTCCAGACTTGAGTCTCTCATGCCTTTTTTGCACTTCAAAATTCAAACTTCGCAAAGCTATTAAACGAATGATGCTGTCAACGACTTCTATTATTGTTTAAGGCCCTAAAGTTTTTTTCATGGCCTTCAAATGTCGCGCTAAGTTAACCTAGTAGAAACATCGGTTTAAAACTTTTGAGTAGATCTCGGAGATCCATATCTGGCACCGAAGGATTAAATTTCTATGTCGCATTCGTAACGCTTGCATGACGAAATATAAAAATAATCTATGGCGGGAACATTAACGTACTATTAAGTGATTCTCAAATATTTTATTATGCGTGACACACAACGTTATTTTTGTTTTTATAGTAATCGTGCAGTTTATCTGTGTTGTTAGCAACTATGTTTTCTTAAATAATAATCAAAGACTCGCGGAGCCAGGCAATTCAAAACGCGTGCAATGAATGATAAAATCCCATCATACGGCATTAACACGAGGCGAGCTCTTCCGTCTGTTTTCCCAGTGTGATTCTCAGCTAATATCTCACGGCGATCGAAACGCGCGGATAAAAAATATCAAATTCATACCGTCCCAT